ATTCATCCCCCCCCCTTTTTTTTTAATTTAACCAGAGAGAGAGAGAGAGAAAGAGAGACTCAGCCACCAGGTCTGGGACTCGAACCATCATCAGCCATGTGGGAATGTCCAGGACCTTAACCACCATGCCATCTACTGGTCCCTTTTTTTATTTAAAGAGAGATTTTTTTTTTTACTATAGGGTATGTGTGCTTGCGAGAGAGGTGATGGTCATGCCGCCATTCCTTTGCCTCCATTCTTTTCTCAGGATTTTGGGCACATGCATGCAAGTGCCTGGTGTTAGTTTTAAGCTACTAAGTCCAAGACTCAAAGTGGGGTCAACCCGTGGTCCAGCAACGTAACCTTTACGCCATCTGCTGGTCCAAAGGGTTATAATTTCTCCATGTCCTCTCCAACACTTATTTTCTAGTTTTCTTTTTATATTTGTGTTTTTTTATTTTAAGAATTATTTATCATTTAATTTTATTTATTATTACTTTTTAATTTGCTATAGTGCACATGCACTCACCAGAGAGAGAAAGCAAGAAAGCAAGCTGCCAGGTCAGGGACTTGAAGTGTGGCTGGCCATGGGGAAGTCTAGCACTTACCATGATGCCCCCTGCTGGCCCATTTTTCCCCATAATCGCTGTCCTAATGGATATAAAGTGGTGACTTCCTGTGGTTTCACTTTGTTTTCTCTGAGGACTAATGATGCTGAGTATCTTATGTGCTTTTCTGGTCACATCTTTGAACAATAAGGATACGATTCAAGTTCCTTGCCCATATTCTGATAGGTCGCTTGCCTTTTTATTGTTGATTTGTAAGAGTTCTAGCTAGGGCCAGCAGATGGCACAGAGGTTAAGGTTGCTGAATCCCATGTGGCCAACAGCACAGTTCAAGTCCCAGACCAGGCGGCTTACAAAACATGCCTGACGTGTGTGCATGGGTGCCCAAAATCTCTAGAGGAGAATGGAGAAGGGATTATAGTGAGGCCATCCTCCCTGGGACAGGGGTTTGGGGGAGCGGGGAATGTCCTTTCTCACTTTCCCTCTTTCTCTATCTCTCTCTGGCAAGTGCATGCTTCCTATAACTAAAAACAACAACAACAACAAACAACCAAAAAATTTTTTGATATGTCTTAGATACCAAGCCCTTATCAAATATATGATATGCAAACATATTGCCCTATATATGGACCACCTTTTTTTCTTTCTTGATAATATCATTTGATTCACGAAAGTTTTTGTTTCTTAAAAATTTGCTGTAGTGGGGCCAGTAGATGGTGTGATGATTACATTGTTGGACTCCCACATGGCTGACCACGGTTTGCGTCCCAGACCCGGTGGCCTGAAACTCACGCCAGGCATGTGTATGCACGTGCCCAAAATCCCTAGGGGAGAATGAAGGAGAAGGGACTGTGGTGTGCCCATCCCCCCAGGGGTGATTTCTCCTTTCTGTCTCTTTGTCTCTGCAGCCAGCACATGCGCCCTATAGTAAAAATCTCTCTTTAAAAAGGAAAAAATTGCTATAGGTTATGCATACCTACCAGAGACAGAGAGAGAGAGACAGAGAGAGAAATCATCCCCCGGGAGGAGGGCCATGCCACAATCCCTTTTCCTCCATTCTCTTCTCAGGATTTTGAGCATGCGCATCCACACGCCCTGTGCTTTTCAAGCTGCCAGTCCAGGACTTGAACCACATAGTTGACCATGTAGGATCTAACTGCCTTCACCACCACCCCCTGGCTGACCCCAAAACGTTTTAATTTTGGGAACCAGCAGTTAGCGTAATGGCTATGTCGCTGGACTCCCACATAGTCGACCGCGGTTTGCATCTCGGACCCGGTGACTTAAAACTCATGCCAGGCGCATGTGCATGTGTGCCCAAGATCCCGAGAGGAGAGTGGAGGAGAAGGGATTGAGGCAGGGCCATCCCTCCTGGGAGGTGATTTCTCGCTTTCTGTCTCTCTGTCTCTCTCTGTCTGTCTGGCGAGCGCACGCACCCTGTAGCAAAAACCTCCCAAAAAAAAAAAACTTTTTAATTTTGATGAAGTCTAGATTATCTATTTTTTCTTCTGTTATTCATGTTTTTGTGTCGCATCTAAGAACCATTGCCAAGTCTGAGGTCATGGGAGGTACCCTGTTTTCTCGTAACGGTCTCATGGTTTTGGCCCTCACTGTTTTTTAACTAACGTCTGTATGTGGTGTGATGGAAAGGTCTCACTTCATTCCTTCATTTATTATTTTTTTTAAAGAAAGGCTTTTTTCCCCTTTAATTTTATTTGTCATCATTATTTTTAACATTTTTTAGAGAATTCTTTTATTTAATTTTATTTATTCATGTATTTTAATTTGACCAGAGAGGGACAGAGTGAGTGAGAGAGAGAGAGAGAAGGAAAGTGAGAAAGCACACCGCCAGGTCCAGGGCTGGAGTTGCAGTGGGCCATGTGGGAGTCCGTGCCCTGACCCACCACGCCACCTGCTGGCCCCAGCACTTCATTCCTTTGCATTTGACCACCCAGTTGTCCCAGCATGGATACTAATGTTTGTTTGTTTTTTTTTAATGGAATGGTTTACAAATTCGCGTGTCATTCTTGCGCAAGGGCCTTGCCAGTCTTCTCTGTATTGTTCCAGTTCTAGCATGTGTGCTGTCGAGGTGAGCATAGGGATACTAAATTTGTGGCCACTCTTCTGGTCCGATTTTCAAAGACATCTCTAAAGCTCACAAGGGCTTTTAAATATTTTTTCTAGTGTTTCAGGATTTAAATCCTCATTCTTCCCTGCTACCGGTTTACAACCTCCATAGGCCACTTTGCCACTCAAAGCCTTTGTGCCTTAGCTACGAAAGGGGACTCATGCAATTATCCTAATAGTGTACTCTTCCTAAGGTTTCTTTGAGCACCTGGTAAGAATGAGTGTCAGGGCTGGCAGGTGGTGTGGTAGGTAAGGCGCTAGGCTGCCACATGGCTGCCTTCAGTTCGATTCCCAAAATTGGCAGTTTGCTTTTTCGCTTTCCCTTTATCTCTGTCTCTGATCAAATTTAAAAAGTAATAGTAATCCGGGCCAGCAGGTGGTATAGCGACTAAGGCACTGGAATCCCACATAGCCATCCATAGTTTGAGTCCCAGACTTGGTGGCTTAAACTCACACCAGGCACGCGTGCGTGCGTGCCCAAGATCTGAGAGGAGAATGGAAGACAAGGGTTTGTGACGTGGCCATCCCCCTAGGGGGTGATTTCTCGCTTTCTGTCTCTGTCTCTCTGGTGAGCGCACGTGCCTGTAGCAAAAACCTCTCAAAAAAACAAAAACAAAAAAAACTTATACCAGGTGCATGTATGTGTGTGCATGCCCAAAATCCCAAGAGAAAAATGGAGAAGGGGTTACAACGAGGCCATCCCCCCAGGGGATAATTTCTAGCTTTCTGTCTGTCTGTCTGTCTGTCTGTCTCTCTCTCTCTCTCTCGTGAACTCATGCATCCTATAGCAAAAATCTCTCTTGGGACCAGTAGATGGCGAAATGGTTATGTTGCTGGACTCCCATGTAGTAGATGCGGTTCGAGTCCCAGACCTGGCGGCTTAAAATACACTAGGTGCATGTGTGTGCATGCCCAAGATCCCAAAAGGAGAATGGAGGAGAAAGGATCATCCTCCCTGGGGTGGTGTGATTTCTTGCTTTCTGTCTCCCTTCTTACTTTGTCTCTCCAGCGAGCACACACACCCTATAGCAAAAAAACTTCCTATTAAAAAATAAAAATCTCTCTCCAAAAAAAGAAAAAAAGAAAAAAGATAACAAATAGAATTAAATAAATAAATAATTGTATTAAAATAAAAAAGAAGTGAGGGTAAAGTGCTTCATCTGATAACCAGAACATGTGGGTGTTAGGCCCGGTAGGGCATCCTCAGCCTGCCACCGTCATCCAGGTGGCAAGGCTACTGTCCCCAGGATGACTGGAGGCCCACTCCCGTTCTGGGATATGGGCATAAGAAGATTAGCTGCAGCAATGCTACAGGGTCCCAGACCCAACCACAGCGTGAGGCCGTGAGCCTCTCCGGCCAGCACATGCTCCACTTTGTGGGTATCAGCTTATTTGGGTGCACTCGCGTGGAGGTCAGAGTGCGTCCTCCGCGGGGACAGTAGGTAAGCCAGGCCCTCTCCACCTTGCCCTCCGGAGACAGCAGGAGCACAGGACTAGATCCAGTCCTGTCAGGTGGAGCCCGGCTGAAGGAAAGGGCTGGGGCCAGCCGACCTGCGCTGCATTCCAGAGACAGTCTTCCAAGGTCACCTTCCCTCAGGCCTGCCCTTTTCAGCCGGAGCCGCTCCACCCCACAGTCGCCAGCAGGAGCCGCTCCACCCCACCCTTGCATTCCCCTTCCCTGCCAGCTGCCAATCCTCTCCAAGCCCTTATCTCTTCCTAAACTTTATATATTTTATTCATGTGTTTATATCTCCCCACCCTCTGTAGAGTACAAACTTCTTGGAAGCAGGGATTTTTTTCTTTGTCCATGTTAGAGTGCCAAACCAAAAGGCAGAGACAGAGAGAGATGACCACCCCCAAGGTCTGGGCCCGTTGGCACCCCTTCTCCAGTTCCCGAGCCTGTCTGATCCCCTGTGCTTGCACATGTACCTGGCTCGTCTCAGGCTGACCGAGCCAGGGATTCGCACCACGGCTGCCACGTCGGATCTGGTCCTCTGAGCAGAGCTTTGCTTCTGTGCCACAGAGCTGGCCGGGTGTGGGGAGGACGTGGGTAGACTCCGTGCATAGAGCCAAGAACAGCGCTCATACGTGGCAGGCGCTCGGTGAACATTAGGTGCATGAATGAAATCGAGAGGAAAAGACTTCCTGGCCACAGGACGCCTGCACACTCTCCTGCGGAGTGCCTGCCGGCCTCTCTTCCTGAGGACTCAGGCTCAGGGCCTTGGGCAGGTCACTGTACACCGTCTTCCTTAAACTTATTTTCAAATTATTTTCTAGGGGCTGGCAGATGGCTCGGTTGGTAAAAGCGTTGGACTCCCACATGACCAACAGTGAGTTGAGTCCCAGACCTGGTGACTTGCTTTCTCACTTTCCGTCTCTCTCTCTCACTCTGTCCCTCTCTGGTCAAATTAAAATAAATAAATAAAGTTAAATAACATCATTCTTTTAAAAAATTTCTTTCTATTTGTGGAAAATGATCCTGGTTTTCCAGTGAAAGAATTTATATAAATGTCCTGTTATGAATGAACTTATTTAAATTATTTTTTAAAGAATTATTGAATTTTATTGGGTCCAGCAGTTAGCATAATGGCTATGTTGCTGGACTCCCACGTAGTCGACTGCGGTTGGAGTCCCGGACCCGGTAGCTTAAACTCACGCCGGGCGCGTGTGCTTG